GCTGTCATGACATCTCAATATCGAAAACTGAATACCTGTTTCCACAGGACAGTATGCTTTTTATTCACAATCCTGTTACTAAGCAACTATAACAATGGCTGCCTCAGATTTCTAGAAGCTAGCTCAGTTAAGGGGGCAGGAAATCTAAGAAAAATGGGGAAACTCCTTGCCTTGGGAATTTTTTTCTTAGGATAAACCCAATGTAAAAACAAAGAACAAGCAAAACCAAAAACTATCCAAACTTAAACCCAGCAGTTCCTTAAAGGACAAGAAAAGTACATGTTACTATGTATCATTCACTTTAATTTCAGTTTTAACTTCAAACTTCACATTTAACTGGTGATTTCCTTACTATGTTGCCATTGTGGTCCCCTTTCTTTCCTTCACCCTCCCTAGGGATCTTTTTTCAAATTTCCTTCCTGATTAGAAGAACATTTTTGACCTCTAAAATCCATTTCATTGTTTACAGAAGCTATAAAAACTAGTTTACAATTGTTTCAGTGTAGCCTCAGCTTTGAACCAAAAACACTATTGGACATCAAGCTATACTCCTTTGAAGGGAAGTCTCTCAAACACAGCCCCAGACACTTTCCCAGCCACTCCCTGAAGTTCAGACAACCAGAGCTTTGCTAATGTCAATTTTTTTTTAAAGTTAGACTATACAATGTGGGTTAGATTTGAGGTGGTGGTGGATGGGTGGAAGGGTGGAAGGGAACTGGAGGTGATGTTTCATACATATTCTAAAAGAAATTTATAGACTAGACCTGCAAAGGGCTAAGGGGAAGGTTATAAAGTTAGGAGAGATGACCTCACTGATTTTTCCTTCTATCTTTCCTTGCGTTTTTTTTTTTTTACTGTTGTTCAAATACAATTGTCTCCATTTTTCCCACCACCACTCACTCCCTCCCCTCCCATCTCATCCCCCCTCCCATCTCATCCTCCCATCTCATCCCCTCTTCCCATCCTCAATCCTACCCACATTTGGCTTTGTCCATGTGTCCTTTATACATGTTTCTTGAAAACCTCTCCCCTTCTTATCAGTTTTTCTTTATTTCAATTTCTCTTGTTATATTTTGCTTGCTTGTTTGTTTTGTTGATTAGGTTAGATCCCACTTATAGGTGAGATCATATGGTATTTGTCTTTCACCACCTGGTTTATCTCACTTAGCATAATGCTCTCCAGTCCATCCATGCTGTAGCAAAGGGTAGGAGCTCCTTCTTTCTTTCTGCTGCATAGTATTCCATCGTGTAAATGTACCATAGTTTTTTGATCCATTCATTTACTGATGGGCACTTAGGTTGCTTCCAGCACTTGGCTATTGTAAATTATGCTGCTATGAACATTGGGGTACATAAGTTCTTTAGGATTGGCGTTTGAGGATTCCTAGGGTATAGTCCCAGCAGTGGGATTGCCAGGTGAAAGGAAGTCCCATTTTTAGTTTTCTGAAGAAATTCCATACTGTTTTTCACAGTGGCTGCACCAGCAGCTTTTTAAAAAAAAAATTTTGAATTTATTGGAGTGACATTTGGTTCACAAAACCATAACACGTTTCAAGTGTACAATTCAACAAAACATCATCTGCGCACTACATCGTGTTCCATCACCCCAAGCAAAGTCTCTTTCCATCCCATTTACCCCCTTGGCCCACCACCACCTACCTCAACATTTACTATAATACTGAGAAAGTTCCAGAAACTGCTACATTCTCTAAATACCTATTCCACAGAAGGCTGCTGCTTCTCACCATCTCTCTCTAACCCCCACCTCCAACTCACATGAGCACTCTCTGCCTTTCTAGCTCTCTATATGTGTTCCTGAAAGATGTTAGCCTTGCAGGTAGGCAAAATAAAAATAAATTTTTAGAATTATTTTCTACATCAAAACTGAGTGGCTCTGTTCCCAAGGTGCCTCTAAATTCTGATAAACCTCGATTTTAAGAAGAGATTTCCACAGACAAGTAGAAACCTGAATACTGGAAACTGAAGATCCAAAATGTCTCAGCCAAGAAGCACAAGCAAGTGACAAAGTCATTTCTGCTTTTGGATCCCAAATATAAAGATGGTTTTCTGTCTCAGAAGATTGCCTGAGTGGCATTTGGAGGAGGTTATTTGGATCTCCTGCTTTTTAAATTAAATTTAGTTTAATTTCTTAATTAATTCTCATGTGACTTTTTTAAAAAACATAATGTACAGTCTTTGAAATTGCTATAAACTACACAGCTCTGCTATTTGAAACCATCGAAGTGAAGAAAATCTTTCACATATAATTATTACTTCTACTGGCAACAATAAAAAAAACTTAGCACTTACATAACACATTACGCAATCAAATTGATTCAAAAATTAAATTGGGTAGCTTCGGGGTCTATTCTGTCACCATTTCCCTGGAGCTAACAATTTAGACAACATGAACATTCTGAATAAGAAAATTTATGGAAAAGAAATTTTCCAGGATACTTCAATTGTTAAAATTTACATATTTGCATACTATAAAATTTAAGGCCTTCTTCTATATCTTGGCCATATTTCTAAAGATCTCTGAAAACTAATGGTCACCAATGTGTATGATTACATTATCAACTGAAGTGCTGCCTATGATTGCAAATAACTGAAAACAATAGGAAATTGGTAAACAATGGCCATTCAAACAATGGACTAAAATGTAGATGGAAAAATTAGAAAGCACTTTATGTATGTTAAGAAAGTATTTCCAAGATATATTTTCCAATGAAAAATGTAAAATAAAGAATACTGTGTTTAGAAGACTACTAATTCTGTAGGAGTTTTTTTAAAGAAAAATATGTACACATAGCCTTGGCTGGTGTGGCTCAGTTGGTTGGGTATCATTCCACAAAGTGAAAGGTCAGTGGATCGACTCCCAATCAGGGCACATGCCTGCATTACAGGCCCAGCCCCCCCATCGGGGGTGTGCAAGGGGCAGATGTGCAGATCTATGTTTCTCTCCCTCTCTTTCTCCTTCCCTTTCCCTCCCTGTAAAAATAAATAAACATTTTTTTAAAAAAGAAAAAATAGGTACACGTAAGTTTTCAGGTGCATGTACATTCAACACCCTTAAAAGATAAGACCTGGTAAGAGTTTTGCCTCTGAGGAGAAAAGCAGATACAGGAATAAGACAGAGACTTGGCCTCATACACCCTTTTGAATTTTTTACCACATATTGTCTATTCAAAAAAATACATTTTTAATTTTAAAGAATCTAAGGTTACTGAAAAAATATAATATATAAATGGTATGCTGATTCACTATCAGTAAAGTATGCTTTTCAGTTCACAATAGTGATATTCACAATAGTGATATTCACAATAGTGATGATGAATTTATACTGATGTGTGAAGAATATCTCATACCAGCATAATTTTCTTTCATGATCTTCTAGAATTAAAGGTATAATCTAACCTGCTTTGATTATCCCTTACACAGACAAAGACATTATCATGGCCCCCTTAGCTGCTAATACCCTTACTTTTAAATATAAATAGTACAGCCCTGGCTGGTGTGGCTCAGTGGATTGACCTCCAGCCTGTGAACAAAGGGGTCACTGGTTCAATTCCCAGTCAGGTCAAATGCTTGGGTTGCGGGCCAGGCCACCAGTAGGGGGCACCTGAGAAGCAACCACACATTGATGTCTCTCCCTCTCTTTCACCTTCCCTTCCCTCTCTCTAAAAATAAAGAAATAAAATATTAAATAAATAAAAATAGTATAACACAATGTAAGTGGATTTTATATTTGTGAATTTTAAGGCATTTGAAAATTATTTAGGGGGGAACAAATACCATTACCTGCATTTGAAAAAAGGGGTAAGTCAAAATCTAAGTGGCTTGTTTAAGGTCAACCAACAAGTTACAAAAGGAGAGACACATTAAAACTTAAGTTTTTAAAAGCCTCCTCAAAACTACTTTTTTCAATGGGTAGACAATAGGAGCTTTCTAAAAACGTTTGTGTGTGTGCTGTGTGTGTGCATATGTGTCGGCATGCACACAAAGAAAAGGACAGAAAATAAATTAATTTTTAGTCATCATCAAATCCTTACTCAGAAATATTTGGTCCCCTTCTGTCAAAAAGTGTCCTAGATTTGAAAATAAAAGTTTAAAAGAATACTGTGAAAGGGTAAGTAGCCCAGCTGAGAAGAGGGAAGTGTCTAGGCAATACAGGTGACATCTGAGTTGAGCTTGAAAGGATGAAAAGGAAGTCAGAAAGAGAAGGAGAAGGAACATTCTGTTCAGAGGCTGAGCGCATGCAAAGATTCAGGAATGAATCTCAAGAAACTCAAATGACTTAAAGGCAAAATCAAAAGGGTACAGATCAAGACCATTTCTTGAAACAAAGAGTGGCATCTCTTTTTCAGGGAGTATTTTACAAGAGAGGCTTACTTCCACAGGAGGATTCAAATATGGTCCTATTTAACCACCTCAGAATGCTGTATGCCCCTTTCATCTCTTGTGATTCCACTAACCTCATACTGTGAATGGAATAAATATGATCATACCAAACAAATGCAAAAGGTTATACATTATGTACTTGGATAATAATCAGAAGACATATCTAAGTCACAAAATACTTTTTAAAGGGGTTAGTGCTATTATTTTTTTAATACATGTACTAATGCCAAACTATTTTCAATGGTGTATAAAATTTTATCATTGTGGAAGTATTGCTTATAGGCAACTCTCTTTCTTAAAGTAAGTCAGGAATTTGCACTACAGTTGTGAATTCTAAACCAGTTAGCTATTTTCTTCATAAAAAAGAACAGTGACAAATTTATGTAGAGCCTCAAAACTTAAGTGGAGCAAATGCCCACAGATTACAAAACTGCAGAGTTTAAACTAGCATGTTCTCATCACATATGAAATATCAATCACATGACATTTTAAGAGAAATAAAAACAACTGGCAAGTAGGGTAAATGTTGACCCTTAATGGAAATTAGTAAATTTTTTTCTAAAATTTTAAAATGTTAACTGATCAAACATGAAGAATACCTGGTTGATGGAATCAGGTTGAGTATCCCATTGAGAACATAGCTGAACTCTGCATGATCCTGAGCAACAAGTGCCACCAGGCCCTCACAGCAGGCTGTCCGAACCACTACATTATCACTGCAACACTTCTCCCACAGCAAGTTCAAAGCAGGAGTCTGAAATCAAACCAGTAGTTAAAGGACACTTCTGATAAGCAACAAATGCATACACACCCCCAGCCATGCATCAAAGTGTAATTCATTCATAGTAGGCTAGCTCTCCTACACAAAGATGATGCTGCTGTCACAGTATTTGTAGAATAGACCAAAGTCAGTTTTTCAAGAGAGGTAATGGATGCATTCTGATATAGGAACTCTCTCTCATCTGGTGTATTTGCTGAAAATAAGCCTGGCTGCCAACAAGTATGATGACCTCAGTTCGAGCAACACAACAGAACGGGGGATCACAACTAAGACTTGGCTCCAGCAAAGGGCTCTAGCCAAACCAAGCCTTTTCATCAGACACCAACAACATCAGCAGACCAGTTAGTCTAAGTTGAATTCCAATCCACACCTATGCTTCAAAGCCCTCAACAACAATTCCATTTTCAGAAAATGTCCCTGCTCTACTACTAACAACCGTTATTACTTACATGTATTCCCTCCCCATGCTAACCACCCCCCACCCCACACACACAATGTCCCTGCCCAAATGGGCCCAGATGGAAGAGAGAAAAGTAGGACTGGCTATCAGCAGGCTGCTAGTTCCATGACTGCCAACCAAAGCCTAGAAAGACTGTTTGCCCATGAAAGAGATTGACTTTTTCCACTCTTACCTCACACTGTGAATCTGTTATCATTCATAGAAAAACACTGGAAAGTTATGTAAGGAAATATAAGTTCTCTATTTTGAAAACTCCTGTAAAGGCAGAGGTTCTAACTTTCATAACTTTCTCAGGCACCCATAATCATCTCATCAAAAAAAAAGGTTCACTATTAATGATAACCCTATATTTAAATGTATCGTGGATCAAGTCCATTTAGATTTACACAGTCTGGGGATCTTTTTGGTTTGTGGCTTAAACACACACACACATACACACAGTGAAACCATCTTTTTTTCTTTCCTTTCTTCCTCCAATAGTTTATTGGGGAAATACATAACTTGGAGAAAAAGATTAAAACCCCCAGCTCCCAAAGAATAACTAAAAGAATGGAAATCAACATCTTATTGTGTCTGCTTTCCCACTGTAGCTGGCTGCGAGAGCCTTTTCAATTGTAGGATCCTACTGTACCAGAATAATATAGTTAAGAGTCACTGCAGGAAAGTAATATTCCATTTCTTTTATTTACAGGGAAGTTTTATTCACCTGTATAGATAATATCAAAGGGTTCTAAATGTCCTCACTCCATTACTGAGCCAGAATAAATAAATAAATAAATAAATAAATAAATAAATAAATAAATAAATAACTGTCCCTTCAGGGACTACTATGTTCCCCTGGAAGTAAGTATTCATTTATTAATGCAAGAGGGAATATTTGGTCATAGGGACTGACGTTGACAATAAGTCCTGGCAGTTTAAGTAAAACCACTAGCTCTTGTCAGAATACATAATGTGACTATAGGCAGGATTAAGATTGGAGTTCTCAGAAAAGTTCATTTAGATGGCTACACACAAATGCCACATAAATGCCAATCAGTGAAGTATACCCCTACACTTCCTTCAGCATGTCAGCAGATGCAGTAAAGAAATGTAACTTAGAGCAGCTAATCAAAAGGAATTCAAGAAAAAGGAAATCAATTTGTTTCTGCTGTGAAAAAAAATAATCTCATTTCCATCACCTATATTCTCTACAGAGTTTACCTTAGAGCAGCTACTCCAGTACAATTTCCAATCAGCATGTCAAGATACACAACACTGGTCAACCAAAACCCAAGTGATATGCCTACTCAGTAAGCTGGCATCACTCCAACACTGAGCATTCACCTGCATTATGCACAGTGCAGAATTTTTCCTCCAAATCCAACTGCCAATACATGACTTTTTCACATATGGGGCCATCTACAGCATGAAAAATCTCCTGCACTCAAAGGGAGCCACTATGTTTACTTTCTCTATTAAAGAAAAATATTCCCTCAGAGGTAACCCTATCAACCTTCTCTAAAACATGCCTACTCTCATTCTACCCATGTTATTTTTCATTAGTAATCATAAAATTACTCCTCTTATCCCCTCCATATCTTATTCCTGGAGTCTGTTGTCAAAAATTAAAATTTCTTAACTATTCAGAAGAAAATACTAGCAAAAAGAAAAAGGCAATACACTTCTCACAATTTCAAATCATTTCTGCAGTGACCTGAGCTGTGAAGGAAACAAAAGGCATGCATATATGATCCAGGCAGCAGCAATATGTGAACAGAATGAAAGCACAAAGTTAAACACATACCTGGTTTGTGGATTGATGGATCTTTTCTGAAAAACCATTTTCCTTTAGGACTGCAGCAATAAGATGACCCACAGCCTTAAAAAAAGAATAATGAATACATTTTCCTCAGAAGTTCTCTTTAAATATTGCATTTGAAGGTAAATAATATCAATAGTAGTTGATATGAATATGAGTATGCCAGTCAACTGATAACAAAATTCCAAGTCACTGAGTATGTGTTATGTAGAATGCACTGAATTACCCATATTTTGCCAAATATAATGCACATTTTCTTGCCCAAATTTTTTAGGAAAAAGTAAAGATGCACATTATACACAGGCATAATGATTACATACAATGGGTATAATAATCCTGTGTATAATGTGCACAAAAATGTGGGTACATATTATACATGGCAAAATGTGGTAGTCAGTCCACATGCATAATTTCTTATCATCATAACAACCATCAAGGTAAGCATTTTTACCCTGATTTTTATCCCAGTAAGCAAACTACAGTTCATAGATATTAAGAAACTTGCTGTATTTTCAGTTCAAATTGCTGTCCCTTAATATAAGATGCCTTGAGATCACTTGATACATGAAATGGTAAGACATACAGGAAACTCCACAGCTTTTAAAATCATCTTTGCATCTAAATGCACTTCATGCTTCAACAAGCTCTTAACAAAGAGGGAGAAAACGCATCCTCATCTTTGACTATGGCCTACACAGATCTGAACCAATGGGTCTCCCTTGATCACAACTGTTCTCCCTCCTCTAGGCTCTATGATTTAATTTCCTGATTATTTTCTCACAGGTTTTAGTCCTTTAACAAGCTTTCAACCTAATAAATCCCTAAAATTTTCCCATATCTTGCTTTGGTCCATAAGCTCAAATTTGAAGCTAATACTCTTACAGGAGTATTGATTACATAAATATGTAAATATTATTACCTCCTACCACCTCAATCTCATTCTCCTAGCTCTTCAGCTGTCCTACCCATCTCTGCTGTCACAGAACCTAGGCCTGCAACAAGGACAGCCATTCTGTGTGTGAGGGATGGAAATACTTGGCAACTGCAACAACTGTTGATCCTGCACTTGGGACCAATGTATGATACAGCTGTGAATACCTGTCAGTCTTGCAAAGTTTCCAGAAAAGTTCAAACAGAAACACAGCACCCAGTCCTTCATTTCTTTTTATATGTCACACATTAAAAATGATTCAAGACCTCAATGCTTGATGGTCTCAGTTTTGCAATAAAAGTTCAGTCGTTTCCATGAATATTAAGTTTAGCTCAATTAACTTTCTCTTACCTCCCAGTTAAAGGGATAGTAACAAGAATTGAGGACCAGTGAATAGTTTTGGTTTCTGTTTACAAAATATACCATATTTCTCTGAATGTAACTGGCCATCAATTATAAGACACACCATTATTTTATGTACCAGTATGAAAGAAAAAAAGGCTGACAATTCATGTTATACAGTGCTGCATATAATTTAGAATTTGTATTTTATATTAAAAAAGAGCTCTTTCAAACTCATTTAAAAAATCGGGGTCAAGTTCACAAATATACAGGCAGTACCAACTGACTGATGACTACTGCCATCAATTACTAGATGCAACCCAGTATCACAGATGTTAAAATCAGAGAATATAGCCTAAATTGATTTTAAAATTCAAGGATATATCAGCCTACACTGTTACTTTAGTTTTCTAATAACAGAATAATTTAAATAGATGCCCTATAATACAGACACACTTTCATTTAATTTAACAGTAACACACATAGGCATTTCTTGATTATCTGTGCTAGTGAAGGGACACCAGGCACAGAAAAATAAAAATTGTGCACAGGTGGAAGGCAATTGTGCCTAATGACTATTCTTCTCCTTGTTGAAGGGTTCCCCATAGCCAGCTAAGTCAATCCCCCAGCAGGGGCCTCTGAAATCAACTGCTTGAAATTCTTCAAGATGCTGTATATTATTAAGTCTTTAGATAGGTGTCTGCTGTTCCTTTCAACTTTATTCTCATGAGAAAAGGCAGTAAGCTATTATGATTCTTTGACTGACCTCAATGCTTCTAGTTAGCTAAAGGCTAACCAGAAAGCCATCTTTCTTTTAACCCTAATCACTGAAAAGCTCTCTAAAATAAACCACAATCTCTTGCCTGAGATAGTATATAGATTGATGTTTTTAAATCCAGGATATTTTATTTATCAAATGTCATTATTATACAAATTGATTATAGTTGTATAGGGGTAGAATATACCTTTTAAGATATTAATCTCTCATACTCTATAGATGTATATATCAAATGTACAACCATTTATTTGTGTTCTCAATAATTAATTATAGACCAAAAATACATATTCAAGTAGTTAATCAAGGTTTTATTATTCTAAGAAGAAAAGTATGACATGAATAGAAACTGAGCCCTGACCTCAGCTTCAGACATACTTCAGTGTGTCTCAGTTGGCTGGAGCATCATCCCATAACTAAAAGGTTGTGAGTTCGATTCTCAATCAGGGCACATACTCATATATATGTTGTGGGTTGGAATCCCAGTTCAGGTGTGTATAGAAGGCAATCAATCAATGTTTCTTCCTCCCATGGATGTTTCTCTCTCTCCCTTACTCTCTCTCTTGCCCTCTCCCTAAAAGCAACTTAAAAAGTATCCTCAGGTAAAGATAAAAAGAAATAAAAAATTTTAAAAATTGAAGCTCAGGTTGGTCAATTTCAAATATTTACTTTCTTGTCAAATATAAATTTTCAAATTAACTCATATAAAAGTCATTTAATAAAATTATATCTCTATATATAGAGTCAAATATTCAACATTTGTCATCATGAAGCATAAGTAAATAAATAAATAAAAATAATTACCTGTGATTGGATAAGAGAATTTGGAAATTCAAACCTTTTCCTGATATCATCTGACATTTTTGCTTCTCTTACATGTATGTATGCAAATTCTATAACCAAAACAAAAGAATATTTGTTAATCTAGAAAAGGAGTTCAAACCAATTATTACTCAAATAACATTAAAGTAATTCATTCCAAAGTCAACAATGGAAATAAAGCACAGGGCTCTGCAACATAATCCTTGCCGTACACTTCACTGTTAACAACTGCAGTCCTCAAATGCCATGATTGATAAGCCAAAATGCCCAAAAGCTCTTTGTTTTTCCCATTAGAGCTAGTTCAGAAACAGATGAACCACCCTTTTTAAAAAATTCAAAAATTTTAGCCTACACAATATGATTTTTAAAGTTCAACAGCATGCCTGAAATAGAAAGTAATTGTTTTATCAATCAAAACGTCTAAGGGGGAAATAATCAAACTTTTAAAAAAAATGTTTAAACTATGCTTTGCTTTCAAACAAATCTTTCATTTAAACACTAATCCAACTGCTAGTGACAAGTGTAAAGCCTAGGTGAGCTTTTTTCAGGGAGTATAGAAATGGCCTAGAAATGTACACATCAAAACAGATTGCTTGTCTCCTAAGAAAAACCAGCAAGCAATTAGCAACAAACTTCAATATTTACATCACACGTCTCATTCCTACTGGGGTCTTCAACACACACACACACACAGATGAAGGAGGGCAGATGATAAATCAGAAGCACAGAATAAAAGGATTTCCTCAGGATCCCAATTTATCCATTTCCCATGCAGCACTGAAACCCACCAAATTACTACTTTGAAAAATAGCTGCCTTAGCTCACCTATTCATTGCAATATAACTTTCAAAAAATTTATGTCACTATAACACTTCAGGTTACTTAAATAATGGGCTACAAAACCAAGCTCTCCTGATCTCAAAATTGAAGGTAGCTTGTGTTGAACTTGGGGCTCTTTCTAGCTACTTTCCTCCCTTACTCAGCTAACCTCCCTGAATAAAAAATTCATCCTAGCTTTCTTCTTCAACATCTAGGCCTACTTTACTCCCTTAAATTTGATATTTCACAGCACTGAAACTTGTTTTAAGACTGCAAACGATGTCCTCTATCTAAATCTGCTCCTTAGCTGAAGCAGGTCAAAATTTCAGCTTCCCAGTTGCACTAATCTCACCTTCCTTGAAGTTTGCTTCTCTTTTGAATTCCATAAAACATCATAATAGAATTTTCCCAAGTGTGTCTCTGGGAAACCCATAATAAAGAAATTTCAATGGGGAGGAAAAAAAGATATATTGCCATCCTGAAGATCTCATTCACTCACTTAACAAACACTTGCTTCACTAGATGGCTACCGTGTCTTAGAAACTGTTCCAGCAGCTTAGGCTACCTCAGTGAACAAACTAGACACACCTCCTGACATTCACAGAGCTTACAGTCTAGCAGGAAGAGGTAGACAGTGAATTAAAAAATAATAATAATAAATATAGCATGTTAAAAACTGATAAGCACTATGGAGAAAAAGGGAGTAAAGAAGATAGAGTAAAGGGGATGAGAAATGAAGGAAGGACAAACTTTCTGTTTTAAGTATGGTGGCCAGTGTTGGTCTTTTCTAAAGAGGGTGGCATTGGGAATTGCTAGCTATACAGATATCTCTGGAAAGTGTCACAGGCACAGAAAACAGTGAGTGCAAAAGCCTTAGCTAATTAAATGCTTAAGACCTATTCCAGAAAAAGCAGAAATGAACTGGGCACAGAAGGGAAGAGGAAGAGAATTGTAAATCAGAGAATCAGTGAGAAGCCAGATCATAAAAAACCTTGTAGTCTACTGGAAGGACTGATGCATTTATCCTGAATGAAACAGGAAAACTACTACAGAAAGAAAAAAAAGTGATAAGATTTTAATACAATCACTTGAAATGAGAAGTGATCCAATTCTGGATATCATTGAAGGGAGAGCCAACGTGGTTTCTGAAGAATTAGGTAACAGCATAGGAGAAAGAAAGGGTCAAGGGTGACTCCATGTTTTATCTGAACCACTTTATTTTTAATCTCCTTTCTTTTGGAAATTTTACAGATTAAGTAAAACTATTCAAATATTACTTATCAAGTCTTTTTTAAAAAGGGAAATATGCAGTTGCCATCAACTGAGATAAGAAACAAGTTTTGTGGGGGCAGACGAGGAATTCATTTGGAACAGGTAAGTTTTAGAGGACTAATATATATTCAAGGAAATGGCAGGTGGAATCTTGGATACATAAATCTATAATTGGAGAGACTGATCTAAATAATAGTACATATTATTAAAGAATCTGAGAAGTTCTTGAGCAAGAAGTTTGATTAACTTTGCTGATTATGGTACCCTTTTTTCCTAGATATTCATGTTAACAGTCTATACAACCAGCCTTTCCTGGGATCCACATTGGGAAACATTGCTCTCCTGACTCCTCCTATTCCTCTGTCCTCTCTGCTTCTTGAACTCCATCTTCCTTCCCAAAGGCCCCTGAAGTTTATTATATTGTGCTGTCTTCCTTTATGTAAACTCTCCCAGAGCCTTCATCCAATCCATATCTCCAAACACTTACCTACTTTCTCTTCCAAAGTTCTGAACATCAGAAATTGGAGAGATCAATATCAAAACACATATTTTCTCTCTTAAAAACTATTAGCAGACTCCAGTCAAGATGGAGGCATAGGTAAACACAGCTCATCTCCATGCACAACCACATCAAAATTACAACTATAGAACAGCCATCACTCAGAATCATCAAATCAAATTGAACGGAAATCCAACTACAGAATTAAAGAAACCACATCCATCCAGACTGGTAAGTGGGGTGGAGATGTGGAACAGGTTGGGCTTGTCCCACATCCATGTATGGTAGATAAAAATTCAGGGGGATATCTCAGGAGTGACGAGTCCCAGTCCCACATGAGGCCCCTCATCTCAGGGTTCCAGTGCCAGGAAAATAATTCCCCAACCCTCCTGGCTGCAAAAACCAGTGGGAATTGAGTGGGTAGGAGAAACTTCTGGAGTCCAAAGCAGATCCTCTTAAAGTACCCACATATGGACTTATTCAGACTTACTCCCTCAGAACTCTAGCACCAGGGTAGCTGCTTAAAAGACACCAGTGGCATACAAAGAGAAATGGAAGTGTCTGGCATCAAGGCGAGAGCTGGGGACAGCTTCCTCCCAGACAGAAAGGTGGACAGATGCTACTGTCCATTTCTGAACGCTCTATCCACAGAGCCACAGAGCTGGCAGGTGGATTGCATATCTGAGACTCCATCAACCTGGCTAACACTGTTTGCCCCACCCTGGAGATACCAATACCTTGACGCTCTATCCCACTGAACTTATGGACTCACCTAAGCTGCTAACAGTGGCTTTTCCATATGAATGGCTGGTCTTGGTTCTTGCCTCACAACTTCCTAAATCTTTTCAAACATGCAATAGTTGGCATCAGTGAGGCTCCCAGCCCCTGTACCTCTTGCTAAGTGGCCCCAAGCCCTGTACTCACAGAAGCATGTCAAGATTCACAGCTTCATTTTGCCTGGGCATCTCAAAGCCCAGCACTATCTGCAGTTGCTTTATAGCTCATGCAAGGTGGCCCCAGGGCAGGACACAGTGCAGGCTGACCTTGGCTGGCAGCACATGGGAAACCCAGAGCCTGTGCACCCAGTGGACAGCTACAGGCCACATCGGAGCACCATCACCCTACCCCTGCACAGCTGATTCTCCATGGAGGGCAGAGGTTGGTGGTCAGTGGTCACTGCCGGTCCTTGCAGCTGACTGGCCTCGATAAATCCCTCCCACTGACCTGCCAATAGCACTCAAGGCTTAACTATAAGAGGAGGTATACTCAGCCCACATGAAGAGTGTACCTTGAGTACCCAGATTAGGTGATAAGGGAAACTGTGCCACTGGACCCTACAGGACACCTACTACATTTGGCCACACTACCAAGACACCTCATACATAGAAACAAACACAGGGAGGCTGCCAAAATGAAGAGACAAAGAAACATGGCCCAAATGAAAGAACAGATCAACCTCCAGAAAAAGAGCTAAATAAAATGAAGATAAGCAATCTATTAGATGCAGAGTACAAAACACTGGTTAAAAGGATTCTCAAGGAACTTAGTGAGGACCTTAATGGCATAAAAAAGATCCAGTCAGAAATGAAGAATACATTAATTGAAATAAAGAACAATTTACAGGAACTTAACAGTAGAATGGATGAAGGTGAGAATCAAGTCAATGATTTGGAACACGAGAAAGAAAAAAAACAACCAATCAGAATAACAAGAAGGAAAAAAACTCCCCCAAAAATGAGGATAGTGTAAGGAGCCTCTGGGACAACTTCAAGCATTGCAACATTCACTTCATAGGGGTGCTAGAAGGAGGGGAGAATGAGCAAAAAATCAGAAATCTATTTGAAAAAATAATGAAAGAAAACTTCCCTAATTTGGTGAAGGAAATAGACATGCAAGTCCAGGAAGCACAGAAAGTCCCAAACAACATGGATGCTGAGGCCCACACCAAGACACATCATAATTAAAAAAACAAAGGTTAAATATAAAGAGAGAATCTTAAAAGCAGCAAGAGAAAAGCAGTTAGTTAACTATAGGGGAGTTCCAATAAGACTGTCAGCTGATTTCTCGAAAGAAACTTTGCAGGCTAGAAGGGACTGGCAAGAAATATTCACAAAAATAAATTCAAGGTGGATAAATGATTTAATTTTATCCACCTTGAATTAATTAGCTGTGACACTATTAAAGTCCTAGAGGAGAACATAGACAGGAAAATCTCAGATATTTCATGCAGCAACATTTTTACTGATATGTCCTCTAGAGCAAGGGACATAAAGGAAAGAATAAACAAATGAGATCTCATCAAAATAAAAAGCTTCTGCACAGCTAAAGAAAACAGTATTAAAATAAAAAGAGAACTAACTGTATGGGAAAACATATTTGCCAATGATACCTCAGACAAGGGTTTAATCTCCAAAATATATAAAGAACTTACACGACTCCACTCTAGGAAGACAAACAACTCAATTAAAAAATGGGCAAGGG